ACAGTCTAATATTAACCAACTTTGTGCAGTGAATTTAAATAAGTTAATACTATTAGCAGTCTACTGCATTTAGTAGTTCAACTCGTACAAATCAATTATTTAGCCTATTTTTATTGGGAGTTAACTTATATTATTGTTATTATATTATGTTGATAATCTAATACTGCCTTGTTTGAGATTATGAGTCCGATACACCATACCGGTTATTGGTTAATAATAATACTAATTAACAGTAGCCGATTAGTGATATATTTTGTACCATCTAGCTATTACAGTATTACAGAGATTCAATAGCATGACCAACCACGACCAGTGAATCCTAACTTTGTGCACTTTTTCGAAAGAAACATCTGGCTGAAGTCTGAACGGAACTAACAGTGCGTTAAAAATCATTTTAGTAAGAATATTGAGCATTAAACTGGAGTGAGTCCACATTTTTGGACAGGCGGGGGATTTACAGATTTCCAGCAAAAAAAGTTGTACTGTACCGTGTTTGTGTGAATATACTTTGTCGATTGGTTGTAGCCTGGTAGTCATTTGGTTGTAGCTAGATAGTTGCTAGATAGTCGCTAGGTTGTAGCTAGGTAGTCGCTAAGTAGTAACTTGGTAGTCGCTTGGTTGTAGCCTGGTTGTAGCCTGGTTGATTCGGAAAAAATGATGTACCCACAAAATACCTTTCTTTCTAACCAACAGTTTCACTATTTCATGTTTCTTTTACCAATCAACTAACCCGTGATCCTAAAATCATAAGTCATGAAATGCACGATTTCTATTCTAACCGGACACTTACAAGAAAAGCTTTTTTTCGGTCAGTAACAGCCATACATTTCACAACATAATGAATTTCTTATGATTATTGTCACGTGATATCGACATTCGACAATAGAAAATACTTTTCTTAGAGCAAGGAAATGTTGGCTTTTTAATGTTCGATACAACAATATGTTTGAAAACATCTACATTTTCTCAATATTACGAGAATTTGTTTTTCTGTTTAATCAACTCGGATATTTCATAGCGCATTTATATGAATCAGTCATTCCTATATATCAATTGATCATCATTAGGTTATACCAATTATACCAGTACAATGAGTTTTAATAACCAGAGTCTGACTTGTAAATATAGTCAAAGGTATTACGTAACGTCCCCTAGTTTTTTATTTAGACTCGGTCAGCTCCTGTCATTAAGGAAAGCACAAGGTATGCGACTATAAGCAATTGGCAAACATATTTTATGAACTTCACAGTCTTCTTCAGTTGCAGATTCGTCGTCGGTTTCTAATTCTACTGTTAGAGTTCAGTTTTTGTATTTTCCCTGGTGTTTGGGATTTTCATTATCTCAAATTAGGGTCGACTAGACGTGGGGAGGTGGCTATTTGAGTGTTACTTGTGAATGTCATCATTCCACATAAAAAACCCGTCGACAGCAAGAATTTGTCCTATTAACGTTGTTTCTGCTAGAAGATTCTAGGCCTGTAGTTATATCTAAAAATAATTCCACCAAGAAGACTTGCTGGCACATATTAGTACTAATCCGCGTTGAGTAAATTTTTTGTTTGTCCGCGTCTAATATGGTGATACAGTCTAATCGTGAATAGTAAAATAAATATTATTTTGCCACATTTCACGGGTTATTTGTATATAGTGTGAGCCGAAAAGCCGAAAAGGTGCCAGGAACGTTGAGGGTACTATTAAATTTGGTAAAAGTGGAATATCGGTCATCTGGCAGAACCAGCTCAAATCGCAATTATTTTTTCAAAGTTCAACTAAAATTTCGATCAGAATCCTTCCGACCTTTTGTTTTTAGCTTTTTTCCCTCTGACGAGAACAAAGAACAGAGGCCGGAAAACACATACCGAGCATTTAAGAAGTGAAAACACCACTCTAAGATCCTCATCTCAACTATACCTTCTTATTATAAGATGATGTAAATTATTAATGTAACTATGTAACCAATACTATAGACATCGATCGATCTGATTACAGATTAGATAACTATACATCTAACGCTAATTAAGTAACTATATAATTAATAATTAAATTTAATCACTTCTTCTTATAGCAATCCATTGGTTCGTTCTCATTAAAAGTTGACCACGAAGTTAAACCGAACTATTCTTAGTAACTTGCTACAGTGGTATCTGAAATAACTGGGGTCTCATGTAGACATAAGCACTAACTCTAAACAATGACATTGGTCGCTCAGTAAGCGAAGTAGGAAGCTTACTATTATCTCGTTAATAGTATCTTTACTATTAAGTACTAATCTTATTGATTGCTAGCATTAACGGTAACGTTATGACGTTGTCTATAAGTCCTCTTAGAGTTCAGGTCTATGAGCTGCAGGCTGCTTACTGGATGGATGGAGTATTTTACTTACTTTCTCCAAATTTTTGTGTCCTTAACGCACCTATAAGCTGACTAAATATGCAGTGTGATAGCGCGGTATTGGTACGTTTCAATCTAACGTAAGTGCATATCTTTTGGTACATAAATTTGTCTCGTGAGTCGTGTGCCAAAATTGGTCGTGAAATATTTTCCTGTGCGCGGGAGGCGGCAACATGTGCAGCTAGAAACTTGATGTATCTTTCTCTCTCTCTCTCAGTCTCTCTCTCTTGGATCACGCACGCTATGAGCTCAGCAACCTCAAATGGTTGTAAATCTCAATCTTTATATAGTATCCTTAACGTTGAAATTGCACTAAACTCATTGCATTTTGCTATTATTAGCACGAGTTTTAGATATAAGTGCGGATGAAGTTCAGATAGTTTCCGACAGAATGTTTTGCTCGTGGATTGCTTAAGGCTTCTCTACTGTCACTTTGTAGTTTATCTCATTAACCTTTTAGGCGTTTACAGAGATGTGCGTTGCAGTTCCAGTATTTATATCTTATCCAAAATGTTGCATCTATTTGTTTTGTCAGATGACATGGATTCTAACTGCTCTCCTAATTTGTATGCGTATCTCAACTGCAAAAGCCAAAATGATTTACATTTCCGAGGCTAACTCCGTCTGAATTACAATTTTAATTATAATACGTTAGTAGTACGTTAAATAATATTAGACACTGCGTCATAATAGTGCTGGGTGATTATTTTAAGATTTTACACAATAATTCATCTATTTTGTTCGTTGATCGTTCAGATATGGCATTTTACCATCAGGCACTACTGATCTTATCAATATTTCATTTCAACATCCTTGTCAAAGAATTTTTAAAGGTATTGTTTAAAAATTTTGAATAAGTGCTATTCCATATTTATCAAGGTAGATTTTTCAAATGATGGAAAGATGGCATTACATCATTAACTTGTAACTAAAATTTTCGACTATTTCACACTAAGAAATGACTGATATCTCTTACAATATCCATGGAGATCTAGGTATAATTATTTGAATTGCTGTATTGGTCACCGGATGGTAATTAATGAGTCAATTAAGTTACTTTCTTCAGCACGTTGAGTATAACAATCAGAAAATAGTGCGCTTATTAAATCAATGACATATTGACAACTAGAGTAATCCGTAGAGTTCTTCTATCACTTTCATTAAGTTGGATTATATTATAATAGCATGTGGGATATGGATCTGTATTCTGGATGTTATTGGGGAGGTTAGCAATTCTTTTGGACACGTCCGACGGCTATTAACCGATCAGTTTCTGCAGCACCGACCAATCAAACCCCAGAAACACTGTCAAGTGCTCAAATTATTATGGATCAACCCGGTTCAAACCCACACCTGTATACAGATCTGTAGTTCGTAGGGAATTTGCAAACAATGGATGAAAAATATTCAGACAAATCCTACCAATATTCTATTGTTCTTATCTTGATCTCTGATAAACTGATAATTACAAAGATGGCTCCAGAGTACGAGCACTGACTGGAGACGGTCGAGTACGGTTGCTGTGTGATAGCAATATCTAATCGCACATCATCCCCAAGAAACAATTAACCTTGGACACTTACAACACTTATCATTGTATCGGTTTGGCTGTGATCGGTCAATTTGATTTAAGAATCTGACATCAACCAGTTTAAGTTAGTGCGAAGACTTATAATAGTCGAAGTTCAAAGTTAACTTATTTTAAAATTTATTTAATACGTATGAATATTCTTTGGAAACATTGGAAACATTGGGCTTGATCGGGGCATATAAAAGTACACTCACAATTACTTTAACTAATTTAAGTTCCATTGCACTTTCTGGCTTAAACGCTCTCGCTTAATCAAAGCACTTACTAACTAGTGACGCACTATGTTCGTACTGTAATAAAGCAGCTCAATATCTTCCTCCTGTAAAAGTGTGGAGCCAGCACTTTCATCATCCGTCACCATCCGTGACACGTGACACAGGATTATAGAACACGTGACACGAGGATTATAGAATACAGATATATAAACCTAGCTCCTTTCCCAACTGTGTTGTAGTAAAATAAGCGCTCTCACGCGATCAGCTCTCAAGATCCGCAGTCTACATCACAGCGCCCACAGCAAGCAGTCTCTCCCTACCTCCCTGTAAACCCACACAATAGGATCCTGCCGCACGTGGGGAGCAGTGCACGTGGGCTGGTTTGTCAGCCTGTATATATATACGTAGGAGGTGTATACATTATGCCAACATCGCGGCAACGCATGCACCGGAGACTGATGGCTTGTGTATTGCAGCTCAGCAGAAAGCGACCTGTATTATGGTATTATGTAATCTCTCCCTGCATGCTCGCCATGAGCCTGGGCTGTATTTCGGTTGTCTGTGATGAAGCTTGAGCGTTTCAGGAGGAGGCGATTACATTCTTAGGAGTAAGGCACATGTTCAAGTACATATAGCTTGCTTAGTATGACTATAGGCTGTACTCTGCAGACAAAGCATAAATGCCACAGAAAATAACCGGACTAAAGTTAAACTCCGGAGCTGGCCATGCTCCCCTCCTGTTCAGTGTATGAGTCATGTTACAGGGATAACATTGACACAAATAACCTAGTGTTGAACAGTTGTTTAAAACTTCTCAAGTACACTTACAGCTGCTGAAATATGTTTTTCCATTTGTTTCATAAACTTGAAAGTGAAATCTTCCCTAATGCTAGCAGTTAGAATGTAGATTTCTGTTATGTTGCACTTGTCGTCTATAATACTACCTGTAGACACCTGCGTACTTACATTTTTGTGTTATACTCTTTGTATATCTTGACATATCATATTATTATCATTATTTGCATTGTCTTAACCCTCGGTTTTTTTTTGTCATATGTTTTATTTTTACATATTTCGGATGTTGAATGCTGGTTGCGAAACATGTGTTAACTAGCAAATGTTTACGAAATATACCCAGTAGGTGACTATGGGTGAGGGATCACTCGTACATGTGTTCACATTGGCAAGGGAACATTTTCGTGAACTTTATAACTCCAATATCGAGATTATTAACAAGCTGACAACCTGTTCATGAATCTTGAAACCTTTTCAGTTTCTTTATTATACGCTACTCTAGCCGTTGCATTACTCTATTAGTCGTTCAGTCATTAGCTTCCTGAAGCGATGATACACCCGGGTTCCTTACACTTACAGGGATTCAGAAGAATCCTCTAGGGGTTGCAGGACATTTGGGAATTACTGGACCCTATTACATGCTCAATCCCGGGTATTTAAAGTGGCTTGTGGATTGTCATCAATCGTTTTTAATGCATTTATATTTATGTTGTTTACAGAATTTCTCAGAAATGTTGAAGCCACATTGGTCATCGCATCGCCTGATCTTTGTTTTGATCTTTGCAAAACATTTATTTGTTGGAATATTTGACCAGTGTAAACATTTCTTTCACAAGCAGATACTCCTTTAATGAAATAGCGATGGTGACATATTGCACTAGCTGCATTTAGACAGAGAACAATACATTTCTGGAGAATAAAGATTTCAGCTCTTGAATAGCATTGAAAACTTTGTTGATTTCCTTTGTTTTGGCTGACGATATGATCACAGCTGACAACGGATAAGGGATAATAAAGAACTCAGAACGTGCTGATCAGGTTTAGAGTCACAACAGCTAGCGTGTCCGTCACAGAATTAGTTGTCTCCTCCTCTCAGCACTACCCACAGTGCACAGTGCACAGTGCACAGTGTACAGTGCACATTTTACCAGTTACCACCAGTCCTGAGGTGTGGTGACATTTGTGACTAGTGTCAGTTAACTCTGTTTATTTGCTCTCTCTTTCTCTCTTTCTCTCTTTCTCTCTTTCTTTCTTTCTTTCTTTCTTTCTCTCTTTCTTTCTTTCTTTCTCTCTTTCTCTCTTTCTCTCTTTCTCTCTTTCTCTCTTTCTCTCTTTCTCTCTTTCTCTCTTTCTCTCTTTCTCTCTTTCTCTCTTTCTCTCTTTCTCTCTTTCTCTCTTTCTCTCTTTCTCTCTTTCTCTCTTTCTCTCTTTCTCTCTTTCTCTCTTTCTCTCTTTCTCTCTTTCTCTCTTTCTCTCTTTCTCTCTTTCTCTCTTTCTCTCTTTCTCTCTTTCTCTCTTTCTCTCTTTCTCTCTTTCTCTCTTTCTCTCTTTCTCTCTTTCTCTCTTTCTCTCTTTCTCTCTTTCTCTCTTTCTCTCTTTCTCTCTTTCTCTCTTTCTCTCTTTCTCTCTTTCTCTCTTTCTCTCTTTCTCTCTTTCTCTCTTTCTCTCTTTCTCTCTTTCTCTCTTTCTCTCTTTCTCTCTTTCTCTCTTTCTCTCTTTCTCTCTTTCTCTCTTTCTCTCTTTCTCTCTTTCTCTCTTTCTCTCTTTCTCTCTTTCTCTCTTTCTCTCTTTCTCTCTTTCTCTCTTTCTCTCTTTCTCTCTTTCTCTCTTTCTCTCTTTCTCTCTTTCTCTCTTTCTCTCTTTCTCTCTTTCTCTCTTTCTCTCTTTCTCTCTTTCTCTCTTTCTCTCTTTCTCTCTTTCTCTCTTTCTCTCTTTCTCTCTTTCTCTCTTTCTCTCTTTCTCTCTTTCTCTCTTTCTCTCTTTCTCTCTTTCTCTCTTTCTCTCTTTCTCTCTTTCTCTCTTTCTCTCTTTCTCTCTTTCTCTCTTTCTCTCTTTCTCTCTTTCTCTCTTTCTCTCTTTCTCTCTTTCTCTCTTTCTCTCTTTCTCTCTTTCTCTCTTTCTCTCTTTCTCTCTTTCTCTCTTTCTCTCTTTCTCTCTTTCTCTCTTTCTCTCTTTCTCTCTTTCTCTCTTTCTCTCTTTCTCTCTTTCTCTCTTTCTCTCTTTCTCTCTTTCTCTCTTTCTCTCTTTCTCTCTTTCTCTCTTTCTCTCTTTCTCTCTTTCTCTCTTTCTCTCTTTCTCTCTTTCTCTCTTTCTCTCTTTCTCTCTTTCTCTCTTTCTCTCTTTCTCTCTTTCTCTCTTTCTCTCTTTCTCTCTTTCTCTCTTTCTCTCTTTCTCTCTTTCTCTCTTTCTCTCTTTCTCTCTTTCTCTCTTTCTCTCTTTCTCTCTTTCTCTCTTTCTCTCTTTCTCTCTTTCTCTCTTTCTCTCTTTCTCTCTTTCTCTCTTTCTCTCAGCTTGTATTTATGGAGTATTCTACTAGGAAATTGTGGTCGAACATCGGTTAAAATGTGGTGTGGCACTGACCCTGAAATAGAACGGGTACATGGTAAGCCACCTCTCCTGTGGACGGCGTTAAACTGATAAATTACCAGTCTTCGTGTGGATATGAGTAAGAGAGCTTGGTTTGTAATTTAATGGCAGGCTCTAACATGTATTTATAAGTTTAGGGTAAAATGTTATTGTAATTTGTGGGAGACATCAGTAGTATATGCCTGATGTTAGGGAGGCATGTACTACTGATGTTAGGGAGGCATGTATTACTGATGTTAGGGAGGCATGTATTACTGATGTTAGGGAGGCATGTACTACTGATGTTAGGGAGGCATGTACTACTGATGTTAGGGAGGCATGTACTACTGATGTTAGGGAGGCATGTACTACTGATGTTAGGGAGGCATGTACTACTGATGTTAGGGAGGCATGTTCTACTGATGTTAGGGAGGCATGTACTACTGATGTTAGGGAGGCATGTACTACTGATGTTAGGGAGGCATGTACTACTGATGTTAGGGAGGCATGTACTACTGATGTTAGGGAGGCATGTACTACTGATGTTAGGGAGGCATGCACTACTGATGTTAGGGAGGCATGCACTACTGATGTTAGGGAGGCATGTACTACTGATGTTAGGGAGGCATGTACTACTGATGTTAGGGAGGCATGTACTACTGATGTTAGGGAGGCATGTACTACTGATGTTAGGGAGGCATGTACTACTGATGTTAGGGAGGCATGTACTACTGATGTTAGGGAGGCATGTACTACTGATGTTAGGGAGGCATGTACTACTGATGTTAGGGAGGCATGTACTACTGATGTTAGGGAGGCATGTACTACTGATGTTAGGGAGGCATGTACTACTGATGTTAGGGAGGCATGTACTACTGATGTTAGGGAGGCATGTACTACTGATGTTAGGGAGGCATGTACTACTGATGTTAGGGAGGCATGTACTACTGATGTTAGGGAGGCATGTACTACTGATGTTAGGGAGGCATGTACTACTGATGTTAGGGAGGCATGTACTACTGATGTTAGGGAGGCATGTACTACTGATGTTAGGGAGGCATGTACTACTGATGTTAGGGAGGCATGTACTACTGATGTTAGGGAGGCATGTACTACTGATGTTAGGGAGGCATGTACTACTGATGTTAGGGAGGCATGTACTACTGATGTTAGGGAGGCATGTACTACTGATGTTAGGGAGGCATGTACTACTGATGTTAGGGAGGCATGTACTACTGATGTTAGGGAGGCATGTACTACTGATGTTAGGGAGGCATGTACTACTGATGTTAGGGAGGCATGTACTACTGATGTTAGGGAGGCATGTACTACTGATGTTAGGGAGGCATGTACTACTGATGTTAGGGAGGCATGTACTACTGATGTTAGGGAGGCATGTACTACTGATGTTAGGGAGGCATGTACTACTGATGTTAGGGAGGCATGTACTACTGATGTTAGGGAGGCATGTACTACTGATGTTAGGGAGGCATGTACTACTGATGTTAGGGAGGCATGTACTACTGATGTTAGGGAGGCATGTACTACTGATGTTAGGGAGGCATGTACTACTGATGTTAGGGAGGCATGTACTACTGATGTAACACAGCAAGAAAGCACATGTGATCCAGGTATATAATGCGCGTGCGGTACTTGTACAGCTATTGACACTAAATATATATCTCACTATAGAACCATCTAAACTAGAGAGAGCTCTGCCAGTGAGAGAGAGAGCGAGGGAGAGCAGCCAGTGAGATAGAGTTGCTCTATAATTACTCTCACACCACTCTCTCTCCAGCTCTCTCCAGCTCTCTCTCTCTCTGCCAGCCTGTTTAACATCTGATTTTATATATGTGATAGTGATGATCCTTCATTACAGCTACAGCTCATTTCCTCCCTATGGTGTGTTCGGTAGTTTGCAGGAACAAGCACAGATAGATATTAATCTGTGCTATTCTCCTTTTGTTGTGCCTATAACGCAACGTCACTTGATAGTAGTATTTCCGTATTCACCTGAGCAACTGGACATAAAGCAGCTATTAGCAAGGTTATCATGGTAATCTTTTTTGAATTAATCATCCCTTGTTGCTTTATATCGGTGCGTATTTTAATTGTCATAATATTTCATTATCGCTAGTCGTGTAGTAGTATGACAAATTCTACTGATGATGAGCCATTAACCGTAATTACAATGATTAACAATCCACGGCGATATTTTGATGCCCATAACATTGTCCACCATGTAACGTAAAGAAGTGATTGCATTAATACTAATAGTGATTATTGTGTGTGTTTATAAACGATAGTCGATTAGAGGACACCAGTAAACAACCATCTGGTCCCTGACACACTGTGTGATACTCACACTGTGTGAGTATGACACTGTGTGAGTATGACACTGTGTGATACTCACACTGTGTGAGCATCACACTGTGTGAGTATGACACTGTGTGAGTATGACACTGTGTGAGTATGACACTGTGTGATACTCACACTGTGTGAGCATCACACTGTGTGAGTATGACACTGTGTGAGTATGACACTGTGTGATACTCACACTGTGTGAGGATCACACTGTGTGAGTATGACACTGTGTGAGTATGACACTGTGTGAGTATGACACTGTGTGAGTATGACACTGTGTGAGTATGACACTGTGTGAGCATCACACTGTGTGAGCATCACACTGAGTGAGTATCACACTGTGTGAGTATGACACTGTGTGAGCATCACACTGTGTGAGTATGACACTGTGTGAGTATCACACTGTGTGAGTATGACACTGTGTGAGTATGACACTGTGTGAGCATCACACTGTGTGAGTATGACACTGTGTGAGCATCACACTGTGTGAGTATGACACTGTGAGTATGACACAGTGTGAGTATGACACTGTGTGAGTATGACACTGTGTGAGTATGACACTGTGTGAGTATCACACTGTGTGAGTATGACACTGTGTGAGTATGACACTGTGTGAGTATGACACTGTGTGAGTATGACACTGTGTGAGTATGACACTGTGTGAGTATGACACTGTGTGAGTATGACACTGTGTGGGTATGACACTGTGTGAGTATGACACTGTGTGAGTATGACACTGTGTGAGTATCACACTGTGTGAGTATGACACTGTGTGAGTATGACACTGTGTGAGTATGACACTGTGTGAGTATGACACTGTGTGAGTATGACACTGTGTGAGTATGACACTGTGTGAGTATCACACTGTGATCACTCAATATCAGCTGCTTTATCGTGAACTGATCCCCAGTAGTCAGTACAGGCTCTAATTCTTGGTCTAATCTGAGTGGTGTGACGTGACAGTGGTGACTGCATGTGGACTATTGTTTTGCGTCTCTGCAGGTAAATCCTGTGTCTCCGTGTGAGCAACAGAAGCAGTGCATTCACCTTTAGACAATCGAGCGTGGGCACTACTCAGATCAGTAGTACGGACAGTGCGTGGTGGGAGGCTGACAGCAGGGAGGCGATACTCTCTTGTATTTACAGCATTGTTTTTTAAGATCACCTGTCTTTCATCAGTTTGTCAGTTCTTTACTTTGTTTTGATTGTGATATTATTCTGAGCACGTTGCCACTCCGTGCTCAAAGGGAATAAAGGACGAAGGATCTAGAGACTAACTCAATAAACAAATTAAATCATTACAAATAGTTGAGTAGAATCAACGGTTCCTTGCTGTAATATTGAGAATAAGTTTAACTGTCCTCTCTTAATTTTGTGGCCAGTTTGGTTGTCTACACTACTGTGATTTGTTGTTATTAATACAGGTAAACCTCCTATGAAACCTTATAGAATTAGCTTTGTCCCGCAGTGCTGATCTAATAACATTAGAAATTTTCCCCGGAAACTAAAAGAAACTGTTTATGAAAAAAGTTGTTATAGGACCAAAAACTATTCGGATTCAGGAACCAACTATTGATCCTGAAACGTTCCTTATAGTTTTTTCCTTTTCTTTGATGAATGTATTTTGATGGCTACTTTTACACTTCAAACATTTATTTTCCATCGTAATCTATAACTTATAGCAACTTTCAGTTTCCAATATTTATTCAGATTATAACTTTTCCATTTTAAATGAAATCGACGTTATGAGATTTTTGTTTTGAATCTTCACTTACAAAGATGTAAAAGTTGGCTCAGTGTTCATTAAGAAGCCTACGACTATAAGAATGTTTACTAATCTACAACTTAAATTTAAGCTACTCTCTTGAATTAACGTCTACACTCATGTAATATAACTAATACTCTCACAAACCACCTCTAACTGTACACTAAACTCTAATACGTGTCTAGAATGACCGACAGACCGTGATCCCGGCTACTCCAGTAAGATGTCACAGTGAAAGAGGAGGCAGGCGCAGTGACCCATCCCATGAATGGGGAATAATAACGGCAATGCTCTCAGTTGCCGCCCCGACCGAGTATGGATCATCTTCATTATCTCTTCAGTGGCCCCGTTTGTTGGCGGTCTCGTCGCTATCATGTCTTGGAGAATGACGGGTGAGTTGGGAGTTACAGAGGGTTATTATTCGTGGGCGTTGTCTTTTATTTTTGTCTCTCGGGAAAAGGTAAACACATGTCATTGTCTTGAGAAGTGTCGGGATTTCGCAAGTTTGAAAATTGGATGATTTTTTGAATCTGTGATCTTCGATGAAACATTGGCACATGAATATTGAATAATCAACAAAGAAAAATCGCTTGTCATCAGTTGTTTCGAGAAGAGGATATATCTTCGGTGTTAAAAAATGCTATCATCGTAAATAAGCGTTTCCTGACAACTTCTGTTCATTACAACAGTTTTATGGTTTTGTGAACGTATAATATTGTGTATGATCAAAGGGAGTTTAAAGTCAAGCACGATAGTTAAGAATCAATAATCATTGATTTGCTAACTCCACCTGGACTCGCTTATGGAATATAAAGCGGTCCGAAGTATTTAGTTTAGCCCCCCTCCCCCACCCCCTGTATTTGCCATAATACAATCTTAACTCTCACAGTACATCTGATACGGTATTGTAAGATGCGAAAAAGGAGACGAGATCAAGACAGCGAAGAAATATACTTCAGCTGCATAAGGTTTGTTATAAAGCTGCATTATTTATACTTTACTCCAAATTTACTGAATTATCATTCAAAAATATATATATATATATCTTTGTAGATATTTATACATATTGTCTACTTTACATTGTTCAGGTTTATTCGGCGAGTGTACAACATTCAACGAAGAGTAGTCCAATTTGCTGAGGACATTAGTTATCCTAAAACTAAAAAAGGAAGGGCCATGACCTGGGTTCAGCTTCTCATGAACCTCATAGCTATAGGTAACTCCACAACTTGACAATTCTTCTTTTATAGCTAGGGTTCAACAAACAGCAAGGAAATTATTTCAACCTGACGCAACCTAGTAGATAATGTATGAAGTAGATTATTCCCTGACTAATCCCCTCTTTACCACAAGGTTCATTTGCCGCTCAGACGCCTGCAGATATTGAGAGATGTGTGAAACTCACAGAGATAACTATCATTGTTGATCTTATCTGTAATATATTTTTCTTATGGAGATTTGTTGTTATGGTGAGTTTATTTTATCACTTTTATCAGCCCTAATATGGGTGTGAGTACCAAAACGTAGTAATATCATATGGATTCTTCGGCACTGCATTGCATGGATTCGGGTTAATATCACGGATAATGGATACCTAGGCAAGCTAATATGAAATTACCCAGCAGTAAAACAAAATACAGCAGCTTGGATAAATGAAACCTTTTTGACCTAGGGCACATATGTTTTGAAATTATCGATGACTACCTTTTCAGTATATAGTATCCAAAGACAAGCTATGTTTTTGGGTAGAAATTGGCTCTTTGATAGATTTTTGTACGATTCCTCCTGCTCTTGTAACCTTTGGGGTAGGGAAAACTTGGCTTGGTGAGTACAATATAAACTTTGTTTCTAACCAACTAAAGATTGCTCAAAAAATGGAATAAAATAATTATCAATTCAAATGTTAAATTTTTTGACCGGAAAAAAATTTGATCTTCAAACTGGACTCTCAGGGCTGCGGTTTGTAAGATGTCTAAAACTCTTATCGTTTGGTGACGACATCGCTGCAGTAAAGCTTATATCTTCACAGTAAGAGTGCATGCCTATCCAGGAATGTTTACAATTTAATACATTTTCAAACTAATAGACAAAGAAGTGTTGAAATTGATAATACAACACACCTTAAATTTTAGGTTCATTCATTTGTGCAAGTGCAATAGTTCAACATACCTCTTATAAAACTATGTGAACAATATATGTTGTCGAATGGTCACGTTTATGATGATTTTAAAATGTACTTTGTTGATGACTGGATTATTTTCAGTAAAATGCTGACACTGTCTCGAACTCTGTGTCAGTTCGTCAGTTTCTGGCTCACAGCTGCGGGATTATATTTCTTGGTGGCGAGAATGTCGGACTCGGGCAACAAAATCCACTTCTTTGAATGCATGTACTTTTTATTAGTAAGTAATAACCTTGTTTGAAACTTCCCTTACCTGTGTTAAATATGTATCTTAACTTTGCACAGTATGCAACGTTAACACAGCCCAATGTTAATATTCAAATATTGAAGACTTATGACAAAAGACTAGACAAATTGAAAATATTTTGAAAATGTAATTTTAAAGTGTTGACATATAAGAAATGGAATCCATGAGTACACCACGTCATTAATCTCAGGTCACAATTTCAACAATTGGGTATGGTGACTTGAAGCCAGAAACAACTACGACCCGTTTAGTTGTAATAGTATTAATAGCCGTAGGGCTGGTAAGTGAGCTGAGGCTAGAAGAGCATATTTCCCGAGCCCTCCAACATTCTACCTGCTGCCAGTGTGTTGGGGGAGGAGGGGTCTGCACGTGCGCGCGCGGCTCACCTTGGTAACCAACACCATCTAGGTTACCAAGTTCGGGTCCGCGTGCAGGTGCAAGGCATTGAGCACTGTTCGTTGACTTGTCTATTTCTATCTCAGGTAACAATAACCACTATTGGCTACGGAGACATCCATCCAATGACTCTGAGTTGCCAAATTATTGTCATTTTCATCATTGCAATTGGAGTGGTAAGTGTGTCGGGTGCTTATTTTCAAGCGCGTAATCAGTGAACGTTGTGAGAGAAAGAAATAGACAAGTGAATGGGCTGTATTACACTCTTGCTGCTTACTTTTTGCTGATAAGTTCTGGGTATTGGTGAGGAGGTGAATATGTTTTGATACGAGATATTGATTATGGGTTAATGTTGGTTGATCATTGTCATGTGTCAAAAAAAGGTGGTTCACCTCCTTGTCAATATTCACAACTATTCTTTTTACGATTATATTTTATGCTGTCTTGATTCTGTTGCAGTATTATCCTTATTGCGCATACTCCTGCTACACAAATTCCGCTGCTGTGTGAAACAAAGCAAAATATTCTTATTATCCATAAACCAAGTTAGTACTCGTGACTAGCAGTTATATTTTAGGCTGTATTCGCTTCATTCGGTCCGGCTGTGATAGAGATGTTTAAAAAGAGTCCCCCATATGTGCTTGACTACGATGACAGCAAAAGCAGGTGATGTGTAATACTTTATCAACACGATTTGAGATTTGAGGTGTCAATCTTAAAATACTTTATATTTATTTATATTTCTCAGCGTACAAAACAGCTGCTGCACACACTATTATAAGATTAAGACGTGTAAGGTACACTAGAACATTTCCCAAGTTTTGATGCACAAGAAATATTCATGATTTTGTAAATTTACTTACAAGTGCCACGTGTCAAAGCAATAACTAACACACAATTATCACACATTTCCCCGGCCTTTCGACGCCTAAAATAACGCCGATCCGGTATAATACCACGTCATGTTGAACAAAATCAGCCCGTGTCACCACGTAATAACTGGCAACATCCTTCAGTCACGTGGTGGTGTGCGGGTACATAAACACGAGTACAGTTAGCAACTTCATGAGAGACTTCCTACATCCTGAGAACGAGGACCACGAAACTACAGCGGTCTTTCTCAATACGTACGTGATACAGATAGTGGACATTTTTAATTTTAGTTATATCTCATTATGCCTCAACTTCGTCACTTTTAACTTGGCGCAAATTTTGAGGATTAGCGACGGAAGGTGTTGATAATTTTATCCAAACTTTGTGACATCTACTGAAGTTTTCAGCAAACCAGATTGACCACAATTGAAGTTTATTTACTTCATTTTCAGAATACCGCCGCCGGAAGACTTACAAAATCTGATGCACCGAAACTTTTATAGATGCCAATATTACCAGGTACAAATTACCACTACCACAGACTAGCTACACACTAGCTACACTACCACAAACTAGCTACTGACTTAAGGCGGGTAGTATTCCCGAGATCCATTGACAGCTTTCTTTTCTCCACAGCTTTCTGTCCTCCATCAGTCTAGCTATCTCATCTACTGACTTCAGCCCAGTATCTGCTTTTAGGTTATCTAGTAGTGTTAAGTGAGGTCGCCCCCTGTTAGTATGCCCAGACTAGCTAGCTAGACTTAGTATTGGAGAGTTTGGAAATCCAATTAAAACTGCCTGCTGGGTACGAGTTCAAAACTATAACTTTAAACTAGTGTTCTAGACAGTGTTACACGCCGTTTTAACGTTGGTAACACACTAATTTCACCCAGGGAAGCCCGTTGCGAGCAGGTGATCTGGCCCGAGTGAAGCTGTCCACAGCTAAAGCTTGTCTCGTTATCGCTAATAAACACTCGGCTGAGCCCGACGCAGAGGATGCGGCTAATATTCTCAGGTTTATAGTGTATTTTATAGTGTATTTTATAGTGTATTATAGTACATGTACTATATATAGTGTTTATATAAATTACAATTAATATGAAATTAACCGCAACACTGTTTTGTTTCAGAGTGATATCTATAAAGAATTACAAGTCAGATGTTAGAGTAATAATACAAATCCTAAATTACCATAACGAAGAACATCTATTTAATGTACCTGACTGGAACCACCAGCTCTATGGTGACGAAGTTATCTGCATCAATGAGGTTAATTTTATGATTGTCTTCAAACAATATCTTTAATTTCTTTGCTTTTTTTTCAAACAATATCTTTAATTTCTTTGCCTGGCTGGCAATTTGCTTATTGATCTGTCTTTTGTATTATACTAAATGTAGAACAAAAGACATGTCCGGATTTCTCTGCGTGCAGCATTTGATAGTGCAAGTGTAACCAGAACTTTGGCTACGACATCATTGAAAGTAAACAGAGATCTGTAGCTGAAAGAGATCTGTACAGCTGATTGTGATCTGATTTACAGAAGAGAGTGATGTGTAAATACTGTGTTTATACTAAAACAAGTGTGATTATTTCAGTTAAAGCTGGGGCTACTTGGTAAAAGCTGCCTGTGTCCTGGGTTCAGTACTATGATCGCCAATCTCATCATGATGAGTTCGTTCCACCCCAGTAACTACGTGAGTCATTGTGCAGCACAGTTATAATGGGTCCATTATCCCAATTATCCACAGTCTGCTGTTAGATTGTGAAATACTCATTGTTTCACCGCATGAACAGCTTATTAAACAATGACTCATCTTAAGACTAATCTTAAGACTAATCTTTAGACTTGTCTTAGAACTCACTTTAAGACTAATTTCACGTTACCTCGATCATTATCACAGACATTAGTAAAGAGATAATTAATGTTTGCTGTTTAGCGGAAAACAAATTCATGACCATCACAAAGCCACCGCAATTTTATCAATGGGATATGAATTTTTTATATATTTTGCGAAAATTGATATTTACATTTCAGTGAAATCTAAAAATCGCTATTTGTGTTTACATACAATCCTCCCTGAATATCGAAACTGATTAAGAACCTGACACTAAACTATCTGCAGAGTAAAGATGTGAGATCTAATTGGGAGTATGAGTACGGGTACGGTGCTTCTAACGAGCTCTATACCGGTTCTCTAAGTAGTGACTTCCTTGATATGACTTTCCCTGAAGTTGCAGAGTGAGTTGTCCTGAAGGGACCCCAACATTTTGATTAGGTTTTATGAATTTTGTTCAGGTTATAATAATGTTTGCTCTCAAGAAAACCTTCAGCTTCAATAATTTTCCTACAGATTTACTTTATGTGTCATAATCTGTCGTATGATGTCACGTGATAACTTTCACAGGATTTGTTTGATAAAACTTCACATACTGCTGATTGGAGTTGAAACCAATTCTTCTTCAACTGGGTAAGATATGAATTGAGTAACTACTAACTATTGATTAACTCCGTTACTGGAGCCTTTTAAAATAGGAGTTCTTCACAGCTGATTTATGTTAGTTATCCGTTATGGTGCCGCGAAACGGGCCATATGAAAAAGCACTATTTAATTAAACATTACTTAGCTCGGTTGTATCATGAAAAACTATGTAAAACCTAGTGTTTCACGAAAAATCTCTAAATTAAAATTAATGGAAGTTATCTGATAAATTCTTCTTGAAAAGACCTCAGACCTACTAAATTTGAATTAAAATCGTTGATAAATGAATTGATCAGGAACTGATGGAAGATATTTCTCAAAATTCCATAACTTATTCATTACTAATTGATTATTAATCTTCCCTCAGGATTTTGTTCAACCCGAGTCCTCATATATTCAGATTCAGACAAGGCACTCAAGGGATCTTCATTGCTCAAAATCCAACCGTAATTAAGAGGTAGATATTTAAAAAAAACTAATTCCTGAGTTAATATTCCTTCAGGATTTTGTTCAACCCGAGTCCTCATGTATTCAGATTCAAACAAGGCACTCAAGGAATCTTCATTGCTCAAAATCCAACCGTAGTTAAAAGGTATGTATAGAATGCACGGTTCGATGCATGGACCCACACCAGGCTTTAGTGAAGATGCGCATCTCTACAACCCTGCCGCTTTACTGATGACCCGTTTTGACACAAAGATTTCGCATCCGTTCATTTGTTACTTCACATGAACAAAACAAGTGAAGCATTAAGCATGTCGCACTGAGTTTGCAAGAGTTTTTAATATATATTTTTATAAGTTTGTGTGCACTGTGCATATCTTATATTTGAGATATGCTAACAGTTATAATTATCAATTTAACTTGCTTGTAGTGCATATCTTATATTTGAGATATGCTAACAGTTATAATTATCAATTTAACTTGCTTGTAGAACCGTTTATCGTACTGGCATGGCGAAGAGATTGAGTTGGAGGTGAAAACAGCACAGCCGTGATTGTTAACATTTCTTACCAAATAAAAACACGAGCACATGATATAATTGTTTCTTGCAAACAATTATTTTAGCAATTGAAATTGTGGAAAAATTTAAATATTTAGAAGAAAAAGTGTTTTTTCTATTAAAGTTATTGATTGTATAAGAATCTGCATGGTCCACAGCAGCGTTTAATAAAAAAGCAACAGCAACATGATAAACTCCTTTTTTGCACGCTTTTATTGAATTTGTTTAATACTTTATATTATAGAACAAAGCAGAAGAACAACAATCCTTTTCAGTGCGGCGCTGTTTTGTTTCAAGTGTCACGAATACGCTATACAGTCCGAGATTGTTAAATGTACCTGCGATAAAAGTGATTGTAAGTCTATTAAACTTACTCAATAGAGCATGTGCTCATACTTTGTAATTTAATTATTCATTTCAATACCACTAATCAATACCACTAATCAATACCACTAATCAATACCACTAATCAATACCACTAATTAATACCACTAATTAATACCACTAATCAATACCACTTCAATACAATGTTTATCGTATGTAATTTATTTTGAAATCATTAAAAATCCTCTAATATCTTTTGAAAGAAATCTTTGGATATTCTTTAAGGCATCGTAAGCCATAAAACATTAGCATAATCATCAACTTCGTTATCTTAACTAATTGTAAAATCATTCAAAACATGCGTAAGTGATACTAAATGATTCTCAACGATCAGTGTCTTCGATAAACCGAACCGAAATTTTTAGAGCAATGCCTGGCGTAGGTATGAGTAAGTGAAAAGTGTGGATAGAAATGTTACGTATTCTTACGTAATGTTACGTATTTCAGTCATGACATACTAGTTCCGCATGGAAAATATATGGGTTTTGTTAAGTTTTGAATGTTCTCGTAGCTTGTATTTTTAGAAATGTAACCGGGCTTGTGTTCCTGTAGTTATTAATAGTGAATTGTGATGTATTTGTGATGGATCCCTTACTGATAAAACGCTGTGTATGTAACAAGTGGCTTAGTACCAGAACCAATAACTTACGTGATTATTTATTGAACTTATAGTGTGGGATAACTAATAAGCGTGATCATCTGAAATTTATAAATAGTCTCTGGCAACAAGTTTAACAAATACTTTGCAACGCAGCGTTTTAGTATGTTGTAAGACTAAGAGGAACCCACTTAGTAACGTTGTGAAGTTCATGTTTGTCTACTTGTGGGAGTATCTTGTAGCATACTGCATAGTAATATTACTTATAGTATTATTAATATTACTTATAGTAATATTACTTATAGTATTAGTAATATTACTTATAGTTATATTACTTATAGAAATAAAACTTGAAAGAAATAAGTACAACATATTTTGATACGAACTACCGTCCAGAAAGTTTTTAAATACTGAAATTGTGATTGGAAAGTTTTGTGTCCCAAGCGTAACAGCGTGCACTATATTGATCTCAGAGATTGAATATGCAAGGCAGCCTATAAAAAATATGTATTTTTTAGTTGTTAGAAGATGAACTGATATGTTTTGTACTATTTTCAGCGGGTTACACCAACAACAGGTCTAACTCTAACTCAACTTCTAAACCAAAAACACAGAAGAAAAAGAAACAGTAAGTTCGAGACCTGCTGACTGGTGCTCTCATTCTTAATTTTTACTTTATCAAACATTCCTTCTGAAAAAACACTTTGAAACATAATATCTGCAAATCTGCATACTTCATATCATGTTCATACAATTCTCACTCTTAATAACTGAACTATTCAGGAGTGAATATGTACCTTACTGGAAACGGCTCTCACAAGAGGAGCGAGCCAAGATGGACGAGAGACTCACTCTGGATGGTTCTGGAACCTTCCACTGGCGGGAATCGTGCCTTCTGGAAGAAGTTACCATGACCAAAGAAGATGTTGCTACACTCACAGGTACTGAGGCGTTTTTATATTCCTGTTGTGATATTCGGGATCTGGTAATGTTCACTTGTAGTAGTTATGTCACATGATTGATTTGATTGATTGATTGAGGAGCACTACCCGAAGGCATTACTCGGCACTAACGCCTTAAAATCTATAATTACAATCAAATATAAATATATGCACAAAATGTATAAAGTATTAATAATGTATAAAATATGATTATGCTATTAGCAAATTTAAATAGTACTATTAAGAATTTTAAATAACTCTTATCTCTTGACATAAATTTAGAACAGCGACACAGGGTCTGAAGAATGCGCGGTGATATTTTTATCTTTTAAAAGTTGTAAATGACAGTGAAATTGCGCGGTGTCGATAGTATTGTAAAAAAATGCTCGAAGATAGTCATATTTTGTTATGAGGTTAAAGTTTTGTTGCTCGTTATTATGATCAACGTATGTTGTACCAAATTATTTAAATTTCTAAAAGTACGAAATTTGAGTTGTCCCAGTCCTTGTCATCCGGTTTATGTGCTTGTGCAGTAAGCACATGCTTGTTGACTGTAGACTTGAATGAATTTAGGAATTTGTCTTGTAGGCAAGTGGTGACATATTTTATGTCCTTGTTAATAATGTTGACTGTTTGGTTATATAACTTAGGCCCAATGTAAGAAATGCTCTTGTCTGAATTACATAAACGGTTAAATGGTACTGCAAAGAACTTAGGTTCTCTTCTAGGTGCGTTTAAGTTTGAAACAGTGAACATTCTTATAATATTTGGTGGAGCAGTGTTAGAATAAACTTTGTGCATTAAGCATAATATACATTTAGCTATCGCGTTCGGTAAAGCTAATACTTCTAGTTTATTGAAAATTTCCTTTGTGTGTGAAGGTGTGCTATTCAGATCTTTGTCATAAAAATAGCGGTGGTATTGGTTATCTGCAGCGCGAATGCCCTTTTTCTGGGCCGAGAAGACTCTTTTAACGGAGTTTAGCGATCTTGTTCCCCAAACTGTGCAGCAGTAGTACAAGTGAGACTGAACAAAGCTGTTGTATATCAACTTGAGTGCTTTGTTAGGTACTGAGCCTTTGAGTTTGTAGAGAATACCCGCATTTCTAGATACTTTAGTGGCTAAATGTCTAATGTGGTGGGCCCAATTTAGCTTAGTATCAATGATCACGCCAAGAAACTTTTCGTGATAACTTTGCTTTAGTCGCTCACCTCCCATGTAGATTTCTATATCCTTAGTTTTCTTATATTTTGTAAAGATCATATATTTAGTTTTGCTAGCATTTAATTTAAGCCCGTTATTAGTAGCCCAATCAATTATCAAAGTCAGAATCTCATTCACCAATGCATTAAGTTGTTCAAATGTATCTGTAGCCCGTTATTAGTAGCCCAATCAATTATCAAAGTCAGAATCTCATTCACCAATGCATTAAGTTGTTCAAATATATTACCATTGATGGTGCCAACTACGGATCATGCAAGATTGCTCCCAGATATCATGGCTGGCGATTATTCTATAGTCTCATATTTGATATGCATCGTCAAGCTGTTCATTTTAATATAATATATTGAATATTATGTTTTTCGACGAAGGCTTTCTAAATCTTGGTGTTTGGGAATAAAAACCCTTTATTTCAGATCACATTATCGTGTGTGTGTTTGGAGATAACAACCCTTATTATAGATCACATTATCGTGTGAGTGTTTGGAGATAACAACCCTTATTTCAGATCACATTATCGTGGAATCAAACAGGAATTAAAGGAATAACACCCCCTTATTTCAGACCACATTATCGTGTGTGTGTTTGGAGATAACAACGCTCCTACAGTGGGTCTAAGAAATCTACTCCTGCCACTAAGGAATAGCAACCTTCCTTCAGTAGAAGTTAAGAAGGTCCTGTTGCTAGGAAAGAAGGAGTATATAGAAAAAGAGTGGAAGGATATTGATGAGTTCCAAGACGTTTATTTCATGGAGGTTAGATATTGTCAATAAATTTTACATTGCATGTTCTATAAACTATTGCGATTGCTGTAACGTTTTTGCAACTATTCGCACTTACAGCCTGCAAATTTAACGAGCCCTAGCTCAAGGGTTAAGTTCACTTTCTAGATATAAGAAATAAAACGTCATATTGACGTAAGCGGAATTATAACATAATCGATCTGTTTCATCACTTTTTGCTACTTAGTGTCCTGGACAGTTGACAGGTACAGCTGTATCAGTTACAATGTTACATATTGTTTCCCCAGTATTTTATTTTGTAGCAGTATACTTGTTAACTGCCTATCAAGGGAAGGACGCCTATTTGTTATTTATAGTTAAAACTCCCAATTAATGAAACTAACTCTGTTCAGGGCTCACCTATCAGAAGAGAAGATGTGATATCGGCGGGAGTTCAAAACTGTCTGATGTGTCTCATCCTGTCCTCGGCTCTACAAAGCAAGGCTACCGACCCCAACCTGGTGGACAAGGAGACTATTCTCTCTTTCTTACAGGTGATACCTTATCTAAATTCTTTCTCTCTCTCTAGGGTTGACCTTCTATTGGCGCAATTCTCTAATTTGTGGGCAGTTAAATATACTGTGGATATGTCAGCGATATAAGGGTTAAGAAGTTTGTGTGAAGTAGAGTTCCTTTTAGCGGTTCAATTAAAGTGTAATGTTGTTTAATTTCCTTTAATCCATACAACTATCTAACTGCTTGCAGCAAATCAAGACAACTTACTCATTAAGAAAGCAAAACTACTAGACATTCTGAGTGTTTGTTTATGTAATTTCGTCTTGGACGGACAGTGACAGTCAGATCAAGCAAAAGTACAATTTCCAACTATAAATCTATCTTAAATCAGAATAAATATTTGCAGTATTTGAAGGGTGATTACTGATTACTGATTAGGTGTGTATCATCATAGGCTATGCATAATATCCGTTACTGATAACGGTCCGCTGAGACTGACTGCAACGTCCCGAGTATTTGGTTCCTCCCTCCTAAACCCCTTTACGTAAACTCTGTCCTGAACGTTTCACGCCGTTACCCACACCGCCGGCAACACAGTCAGTTCCTGTCGCGGTGAGGAGTGTGAATTAGCTGTTGCAGTGTGTGGGGTCTACAATCTACATGTTGTATCAGCTAGTTGTCTACATACCTGTATCTAGTGCTAGGAGAGCACGTGGGCGCTCTAATAACCCATTATCACCACTAGGTACTGCTTCTATTTCTAACACTGCTCTCACGTCTACACCATACACGTGTAATTCTACAATGGTTTTGTAGTGGTGTGCTTTACAACACCACGTGACTTAACATTTCTCAAGGCATGAGATACACGTGTAATTCTACAATGGTTTTGTAGTGGTGTGCTGCAGGGTGGGCCGCGTGTAAACGGTACAGATATTGAGACTTTAGAGTTTAAGAGTGCAATTACATGCTTTATATAAATGTACAAAATAATTTACTGAGAATATATAATAATAAGGAGTGTATAAGGAAATGACGAGGTTGAGAGTTTTATATTTAGTAGGTATATAATGTTAAGTGTGCACTGTGCACGACCTGGTTTGTTTCAGATGGTTAGCATTATTTGAAATACATTCTCACTAATATTTTTGATTAATTCCTCCTATGATCAGATTAAAGGATGCCGGGGCACCGAGAGTACGGACACACCCAACACAACCAAATATCGGCTGTCGGAGAAACCCATCAGAAACCGAGCCCAGATCCCCATAATATCAGAAATAGGTTTGCCATATTTAATTTTGTCACATTTAATTTTCCTTCTGACAACTATTCATGGCTCCATTACAATAACCACTCGAACACATTATTCAGTTTTACGCGATTTTTCTGTTCAAAATTGACGTAATATTTTTGGTTCTACTTCTACTGTAATCGAACAACTATGGTACAAATAACAAAAGCGATATCGTTACAAGATCAGGTTCAGAAGATAACCCTCACATAATCACTTACCTAGTTAACGATTCGAACGTGCAATTCATGGAAAAATCTAAAGACTCGGGTGTTGGAGCCCTGTACATGGCTTTACCTTTCACACGGGGCCAAGCCTTTATCGTTTCAGTACTGGATGCCATACTGTCTTTGGTAAAAAGTGTTTGTTGCATGTTTGCCTGGTTTACTTTGAAAGCATTTGTGGGACCGGTGTGGAGGTTGTCAACAGTTGGCTGTTGGCACACTATGAAAAAGAGCGCGAAATATTTTAATATGCAAAATAATCACTGTAGTAGTGATGGTCACATAATCTCGCGTTATGGCAGCAAATTATAATTATAATTACGTAGATTAAAATAATGTAACATATCCGGTAGAGGAGTACCCTGACTCCTGTTAAATATCCTGGATAGGATTTAGGACACATCGTAAGTTTGGCATACAATGGCAAATAAATGTGTGAGAAAAGCTTGCGGAAAATAAAAAGACAACTCCACTCTCCAGTGGACTGATGTAGAGATAGTGTCTCCACACTGTGTACATCATAATGAAACTGGGTTTTCTGTTTGCTGTGTGTATGTACTAGCATGATCTTGTTTTTCAGTGTCTGATTCTAATGTTCAATTCATGATGGCACACAGCCAGGAATCCTTCTCCTCGTCTTCCCCACTTCAAATGTCACTGCCCTTTTCGCGAGGCCAAGCTTTCATTGTGTCTATCCTTGATTCCCTCTTATCTCTCGTTATCAACGGGGACCGTGATGTAAGCACCACATTGTTAGCCACATTGTTAGCCACATTGCCTATACGTTTCCTATTTCTTGCTAGAATCTTGCAAAACTGACGCGATTATACGCAGCTAGTGAACTGGAACGTTTATAAACACTGCTGTTTATAAACACTGATGTTTATAAACACTGATGTTTCTAAACACTGCTGTTTCTAAACACTGCTGTTTATAAACACTGCTGTTTATAAACACTGCTGTTTCTAAACACTGCTGTTTCTAAACACTGCTGTTTCTAAACACTGCTGTTTCTAAACACTGATATTTATAAATACTGCTGTTTCTAAACACTGCTGTTTATAAACACTGATATTTATAAACACTGCTGTTTCTAAACACTGCTGTTTCTAAACACTGCTGTTTCTAAACACTGCTGGTTATAAACACTGATGTTTCTAAACACTGCTGTTTATAAACACTGCTGTTTATAAACACTGCTGTTTATAAACACTGCTGTTTATAAACACTGCTGTTTATAAACGCTGCTGTTTATAAACAATGCTGTTTATAAACACTACTGTTTCTAAACACTGCTGTTTCTAAACACTACTGTTTATAAACACTGATATTTATAAATACTGCTGTTTCTAAACACTGCTGTTTATAAACACTGATATTTATAAATACTGCTGTTTCTAAACACTGCTGTTTATAAACACTGATATTTATAAATACTGCTGTTTCTAAACACTGCTGTTTCTAAACACTGCTGTTTCTAAACACTGCTGTTTATAAACACTGATGTTTCTAAACACTGCTGTTTATAAACACTGCTGTTTCTAAACACTGCTGTTTATAAACACTGCTGTTTCTAAACACTGCTGTTTCTAAACACTGCTGTTTCTAAACACTGCTGTTTATAAACACTGCTGTTTATAAACGCTGCTGTTTATAAACAATGCTGTTTATAAACACTACTGTTTCTAAACACTGATATTTATAAATACTGCTGTTTCTAAACACTGCTGTTTCTAAACACTGCTGTTTCTAAACACTGCTGTTTATAAACACTGATGTTTCTAAACACTGCTGTTTATAAACACTGCTGTTTCTAAACACTGAGGTTTCTAAACACTACTATTTATAAACACTGCTGTTTCTAAACACTACTGTTTATAAACACTGATATTTATAAATACTGCTGTTTCTAAACACTGCTGTTTATAAACACTGATATTTATAAATACTGCTGTTTCTAAACACTGCTGTTTCTAAACACTGCTGTTTCTAAACACTGCTGTTTATAAACACTGATGTTTCTAAACACTGCTGTTTATAAACACTGCTGTTTCTAAACACTGAGGTTTCTAAACACTACTATTTATAAACACTGCTGTTTATAAACACTGCTGTTTATAAACACTGCTGTTTATAAACACTGCTGTTTCTAAACACTGCTGTTTATAAACACTGATGTTTCTAAACACTGCTGTTTATAAACACTGCTGTTTCTAAACACTGCTGTTTATAAACACTGCTGTTTCTAAACACTGCTGTTTCTAAACACTGCTGTTTCTAAACACTGCTGTTTATAAACACTGCTGTTTATAAACACTGCTGTTTATAAACGCTGCTGTTTATAAACAATGCTGTTTATAAACACTACTGTTTCTAAACACTGAGGTTTCTAAACACTACTATTTATAAACACTGCTGTTTATAAACACTGCTGTTTATAAACACTGCTGTTTCTAAACACTGCTGTTTATAAACACTGCTGTTTATAAACACTGCTGTTTATAAACACGGCTGTTTATAAACACTGCTGTTTATAAACACTGCTGTTTATAAACACTGCTGTTTATAAACACTGCTGTTTATAAACACTGCTGTTTATAAACACTGCTGTTTCGAAACACTGCTGTTTATAAACACTGCTGTTTCGAAACACTGCTGTTTATAAACACTGCTGTTTATAAACACTGCTGTTTATAAACACTGCTGTTTATAAACACTGCTGTTTATAAACACTGCTGTTTCCTCGTATTTATTAACTAACCGGCGGTATATGATACTATTTACGTCATTGCTTCTGGAAAATTCGGAGGAAACTATAGTGACTAGCGGATTCTTTAAGCTGTTGTGATATCGCTATAAATTACACTGCAAATCAGCTTATTTTACTCTTATTATTTACTTTCTGATTTTTCTTGGGAATTAAATACGAACTTTATTATGTATTATGAGGTTGTGTTGTTTCTGGAACCTTCTTTATATCATCAATATTTACATCCATCAAACTACCGTGCATAAAGTTCTCAGATATTTATCTGAATTTTAAAACGCAAAACTTGTTGATGGGTTTGTGCGTGTGCAGATTTTTCTGAAAATTACATCCTCCTTACATTTCACATCCTCAGACATTCTACAACGAAAAGTTGATGAGTATTATAAGAACTTTGATCACTGGAATCGGAAACAGTCATAAAAACGAAACAGCAGACAACTACCTCCCCGGTTTGTATTATCACTATTTAACTGTTTACTGCTGTCTTTTATGACCCGTGGAAATTCAGCTACTGATGAGTATTATTTAAAGAACTAGGGAACTATGTACATTATAATTAGTAATAATTAGCAATAAATAAACTATGTACATTAGAATTAGTAATAATTAGCAATAAACAAACCACCAATCCCCATCAGAGAACAGCGAGGAGGATGTGATGTACTATCAGCCCTGGTTGAGAACTAGGATGTCCTGTAGAATAGCTCAGATCTCCCTACGAGACGAGAGATTCTCTAGATTCAGGGTAAAACATTTTCATACAATGGAGAATCGAGCAATATACAGGCTATATTATATGTATTAGCCTCGTTATCATGTTATCTGACACATTTAAATACAACTTTGTTCAATTAATGAATAATTATAATAATTATAATAATAATTAGTGAATAATCCGCAGGTTTATGGTGAACTGTTTGTATATTTGCTTCACAACTATTCGATGCTAGCCCTCGGATTGTACCGCAGTTACCAGTGGGCTAATAAAGGAATCAAAGGTATTTCTTAGAATATGTATCAAATTTCATCACAGAATTTTGGGATTCTACGTATTAGACAGAAGTATTTGAAACCTTTTCATTTTCCAGTAATATTTACTTTATTGCCAAATTTTGACTGATAATGACAACATCTCACCCAGGGAAAAGTACCAAAGCAAGAGATAATCATAACGAAGATAGATATGTAACGACAGCTCCTTCATACGATGCGAAACTCAGGCCAAACGACAAGGTTCATAACGTTTTAAATAATAAGACACAAAAAACAAGCTTGACTACGTTTACAAATTACATGATCACTTGATTTCTTCATGCTGAGAGCGATTACAAATTAAATTAATTATGAACACTTATTGTTTTACCAGGTTTTCGTTCTGGCACAATCGGAAATGGAGCTTCCTTTCCCACTTGAAATGGGGAAAAATGAAATGGATGGGTCCGATGACGATGGAATGTCGTATCAAACTAGCAGAGGTAATGATTTAGCCGCTTAAAATTGCCGATTATATCCAAATGTTTCTTGTATGATCAACGAATCAATATTTTGACGATATTTTTTGATTTACCGAATTTATCGGTAATTAAACAATAAACATAATAGGTCTAAATTCAATCATTTAAAGCAATTAAAATGATTGCTTTGTAGTTCAGTTTTAATAACTTACAATATTATTGTCCCTCGCTTACGCTGCTATAACGATTTCATATGATGTTATGCAAATCATTATCATGACATCATATGTTTACTTGTACCTGATTATTTATGTATGCTTCTATAAGCTTATGTATACTTGGATAATGTATATGCTTATACAAGTCGGTAATTTCAGCAGCCGGCTACCTACGAGTTTAGGAAATCCTTTAGTCAGTTCAATATTACAATAGTAGGTTCGGACATGCGTGACTTACAACAATTGATTTACATCAATGATTTATCACAGCACTTCAAGCCTTTTGAATACAATGAAAATATTTCTCGAAATTCGAATCAGCATTGGTTTTTGTGCAGCAAAATGATCTAACTGATGATTCCAATCCTGATGATTTTAATCCTGATGATTCCAATTGTTATCATGTTTTTTATCTTTTTCTCCTCCTTAAATGTAGCGCTCATCTTGCGCCAATTTTCTTTTCTGGGAGATAATTTACTGCCTATTTTATCGTCGGGACGTGTCGAAAAATAATCTGATCACGACTGTTACCACTGTTAAGTTATTTTGCCTGATCATTATCATGGGCATGTGTATTACAAAATCACAAAATAACAGAAAACCTTCTTATTTCAGAAACCTCTCCACCCGCTTCTATGAGGCCAATGTCGGACGTTTCCGTTCCTATCGCAGTGGAGGAAATCCAGCCAGTAACTCAACCTTCCAACCCTGGTAATAACACTGACGAGCCAGGTCTCCCAGTCGGGGAACCTGCCCCTAAAGGAGAGGATCTAGTATCCCACACTGTGGAGCTCCCCGCCGTCTACACTACTGACAACTCCGAAACTCTGAAGGCTCCCAATAACGCCAGCAATGATATTGCACACCTTATTGCATGACGGTGATTTGGCTACAGTTTACATCCACAAAGTGCCAGAGTTTGGATCCACTACGTCGGGCTCGTTATTGTGTTTCTCAAAAGGGGACAAGTTTCTGTCACGGTCAGTAAAATAGAAAGATTTCTCGGGAAAAATTGCATCAGAATCATAGTGACCAGCTGGGATCAGGTTTGATAAAAGTTTGCGTGAGACCGGATTTGGATATTTGAATATATCGTATGCAGCAGAAATTAACCCGAAGGTTTTGAACATGCAAAGAAGAAAAACTCGGTCCATTGAACGATCAAAATTTAAAACTCAAAATATGATATCGTTAAAACGTTAAAAGATGCAATACCCTGTTCATCTTGAGCAATACATTTTAATCCTGACCTTCAAATAACTAAAAGTCGTTTGTAACTGCTATCGTGACGAAACTTTGGTAAACATTTAGATTAATTTATTTTACGTTTTTAGATTTTTACCGCCCTGGCCAGTTCCGTTTGTGTTCGTTGATGAGGAATTCGAGTAATTTGAAAATTGCGATTTTTATTTATGTAGTTTAAAGGATTTGGAACTCTGTTACTGTATTGGCTGATGTCGTAGAATTTTAGTTTAATACTTACTTGACGAGGATTTGTACCATGAAAATCCCACGATGCCAACTTTAATCTTTTATCCGAGTTCGGCATCAAATCTAAAAGTGAGAAGAGAGGAATTTTGATGTTATCTTTCTTGCTTTCATCGTTTAGGTTTGTAACTATTTTAGTCATGCCAAGTTTTATAAAAAGTTAATTTTTAGATTTTGTAATGAAAAGATTCAGTGTCTTAATTAGATCTTTCAGTTTATGAAATAAAATATTCAAAGAATAATAAAATGAATAAATTCATTCTCAATGACTTCGTTAGCTGTAGGCTAACAGTAACAACATTAACACATTATAGGATATTAAATGCACAAATATGAAATACAAAAAGTTGGTCCATTTGGAGATGGATTAATAGATTTCAAGAATTACATCGATGTACAATAGTGCATATTGCAGCTTCCTTTATTAATGATTTAAAGACGACGAGAGTTCATAACTACCTTATCGGACCTTATTTGGACGGACATTACTTGAACGCTGGAGGCCCTAGCGTTCATCTTAATGTCCGTTCAAATAAAGTCCGTTCAATTAATGTCCGTCCAAGTTAAAGTCCGTTGAAATTTTTTCAAAAATTTTTCCATTTCGAACTTTTTGTCCCAGAATATGACAACTATGAGAACTTTATTGTGCCGTAAGTTAACGACGGAAAGGTTCTCCTTGGTTTGCCGGAGGCACAGAAAACTCTACTAGTATATGATGTTTTCAAGGGTCACTTGGCGGAAAAAGTCAACGAAATTATGGCACTAAACAACATAGTTCATGAGCTAGTCACCGCCAACATGCAACATGACAAACTTGTTCCAGCCTCTAGATATTACGGTAAATCGTGTTGACGTTGCCAAGGACATTGTCCGACGATTTTATAGTTCATAATACTGAGGAGAGGTAATGAAACAGTGCTAGGAAAGCTCCACGTGATGTTAAGGTTAACCTAAAGTTGTCTAAGATAAAAACCACTTCACGCCGAATGGCTTGTAAAAGTTAACACTGAAATGCAGGACCGGGGTAGTTTGATAAAAAAGGTTTCCATAAAGCTAGAAATCACTGATGCTTGTTTAAGCATGGACTATTTCATGCACAAAAAACCATTTGACGAAGATGATAGGTGACATTAGACACTGATCATGTACACATATTTTAACATTTTTACTGCTTAATGACTGCTTTTCTTACTTACTGCTGAAATTTAAAAAACGTCAACAAATTGAAAAAAATTCGGATTTTTGATGGTTTTGAATGCCTTCGAGCGTTCGTATTAATGTCCGTTCATAATAATGTCCGTTCATGTAATGTCCGTCCAAATAAGGTCCGATAAGGTAGAATAAAGGAGCCTGGGGTTGTGGACTGTTTGATATTTCACCATAATAAGATTATTGATGGTATGTTAGTCTGCACGAAAGTGAGTCGATCATCTGATGTAAATCCTAACTTAAAACTAGAAATCGTCCCAATCAACTGACTAATTGATCACTAGGCAAAAATTCCATTAAATCTGTCAAATATCATATTTGAAAATGGGACAGAGAATGAAACAATATCATTTTTCAATTTTTTTCGGGATTTTGAATTCCAGTACCTCAATTTGGTTTCATACCATCATCGATTAACTGAATAATTGGTCTATGGGCAAAAATTCCATCCGATCTGTCAAATTTGTGTTCAGAAATTTTCATATTTGAAAATGGGACAGAGATTAGAAAATATGAATTTTCGTTTTGTTAAGATTTTTGCTGTGAGCTTCCTACGACCGAAATCAAACTTCCAGCACCTCAATAATGTCATATGGGGTCTATAGTTGACCGACTAATTGGTTGCAGGTGAGAAATTCTGTCAAAACTGTAAAATTTCGGTACTGGAAATTTCATCTTCAAAAACTGAAAATGGGACAGAGAATGAAACAATATGATTTTTCAATTTTCTTCGGGATTTTGACTTCCAGTACTTCAATTTGGTTTCATACTATCATCGATTAACTGAATAATTGGTCTATGGGCAAAAAGTTCATCCAATCTGTCAAATTTGTGTTCAGAAATTTTCATATTTGAAAATGGAACAGAGATTTTAAAATATGAATTTTCGTTTTGTTAAGATTTCTGCTGTGAGCTTCCTGCGATCGAAATCAAACTTCCAGCACCTCAATCGTGTCATATGGGGTCTATAGTTGACCGACTAATTGGTTGCAGGTGAGAAACTCAGTAAAAACTGTAAAATGTCGGTCCTGGAAATTTCATCTTCAAAAACTGAAAATGGGACAGAGAATGAAACAATAGGATTTTTCAATTTTCTTCGGGATTTTGACTTCCAGTACCTCAATTTGGTTTCATACCATTAACTGACTAATTGGTCTATGGGCAAAAAGTTCATCCAATCTGTCAAATTTGTGTTGAGAAATTTTCATATTTGAAAATGGGACAGAGATTTTAAAATACGAATTTTCGTTTTGTTAAAATTTCTGCTGTGAGCTTCCTGCGATCGAAATCAAACTTCCAGCACCTCAATCGTGTCATATGGGGTCTATAGTTAACCGACTAATTGGTTGCAGGTGAAAAACTCAGTAAAAACTGTAAAATGTCGGTCCTGGAAATTTCATCTTCAAAAACTGAAAATAGGACAGAGAATGAAACAATATGATTTTTCAATTTTCTTCGGGATTTTGACTTCCAGTACCTCAATTTGGTTTCATACTATCATCGATTAACTGACTAATTGGTCTATGGGCAAAAAGTTCATCCAATCTGTCAAATTTGTGTTCAGAAATTTTCATATTTGAAAATGGGACAGAGATTTTAAAATATGAATTTTCGTTTTGTTAAGATTTCTGCTGTGAGCTTCCTGCGATCGAAATCAAACTTCCAGCACCTCAATCGTGTCATATGGGGTCTATAGTTGACCGACTAATTGGTTGCAGGTGAGAGACTCAGTAAAAACTGTAAAATGTCGGTCCTGGAAATTTCATCTTCAAAAACTGAAAATGAAACAATAGGATTTTTCAATTTTCTTCGGGATTTTGACTTCCAGTACCTCAATTTGGTTTCATACCATCATCGATTAACTGACTAATTGGTCTATGGGCAAAAAATTCATCCAATCTGTCAAATTTGTGTTGAGAAATTTTCATATTTGAAAATGGGACAGAGATTTGAAAATATGAATTTGTGATAATAATTTTATAAAAATACAAAAGTTGTGATTTAATATTTTCTGGTGTTGGGCCATCCTTTGGGTTGTGGAGCTCAGTTCTGCTTCGTATAGGTCTATATAATGACTAATTGGTCTATGGGCAAAAAGTTCATCCAATCTGTCAAATTTGTGTTCTGAAATTTTCATATTTGAAAATGGGACAGAGATTTGAAAATATGAATTTGTGATAATAATTTTATAAAATACAAAAGTTGTGATTTAATATTTTCTGGTGTTGGGCCATCCCTTGGGTTGTGGAGCTCAGTTCTGCTTCGTATAGGTCTATATTGTGCATAAGGCTAGTTTTAAAGTTGAAAATCGAAAATTTGCACACGTGGTGACACGCCCAATTTGATATAAAATTGCTAAAATCACTGAAAATTGCTATTTTTACCATTTTATGTCAACTTTGGAGTCCCGTTGTGATCCAAGTCCTCTTTGAAATCTTTTGAAACTTTGTATGCTTATCAAACATTATATAAAACACCAATATGCAAAAATTAACGGTGATTCAATATTGTATGCGCACGCAGCGTCCGCTCAAAGTTTGCACGTGCGAAAGATGAGAATTTTGCTCATTCGACAGTTAAATGGCATTATATATGAATTTAATGCCAACTTGAATGAGTATAAAGTGGCATATTCAGTCATTGATCGACAAATATGCTTACCTAAACACAAGGAAAATTTCGAAATCGTTGAAATTACCTCCTTATCAATTATGAAGTTATGAGTTTACATTTCGACTTTGTAAAGTACCCTGACATTATAATCAAAAAGAGATGATATTTGGCCAAAACCCATAATCATGTGTAGACTGTAGAGTGGACCCGTGGACCGCTGCCAGTGTCTCTCTTTCCCAAACAAAAGGAAATGATATTATTATTAATTTGAATAACCGTCCGCAAATGCAAAATGATACCGAGTATGAAATCGGTCGCTCGCTTTTCCCATTCATATACAATTGTAATAAATTAAGAAAAACTACCCGAAGGCAGTCAAATGACCTTATCGTAGACCTGGGAACAGGGCAGGCAGCAGCCTCCACAAAAGTCACGTATTCAACGTCCCGCTTGATGTTAAAAACTAGTTGATACTGGATACTATATTTAGAATAGTTGTAGACTCCTTAGTTCGTTGATATAATTTATAACCTTTGAGTTTGATGCAGATGGTTTGATTTATCACTTTGACTTTAGAATAACTTTGAGACAAATAATAAACTCATATAAATTTATCACATGCTAATAATACGGTACTTTAAATATTACCGAAAGATGAATTTTAGCGGGTAACTTTATCGATCCTTTTACAGTTTTGCTAGCCCGACATCTCGCCAGGTTGAACAGCAGTGGTCTAGATGTATCAGTTTGGCTGATCTGGACCAGAGAACGCGGCTCTAGAACATATTTCTAACGAGCGAGTTAAACTAATTACTTATAGAACCACACGAGATTCAAGGCAAGGGATTCAAGTTAGACTTAATAGTAATATACGCAAGTTAGAGTATTAACAAATAGACAACTGACAACGTTTGATGATACACATTACACAAGGATTACAAGAATTAGCTTTCTAATAATCATTATCATTATTATTAACGCTGTGAGCTGCTCGTAGAGCACAATTTCGAGTAAATTAATTGTCACTATTAGTTCAGTCATTTAAGGACATCTACCTATATAACATGCATATGTAGCTTCGTTTAAGCCTATTTTGAAGTCTCTCGGACCTTCAGAAGCAAAGGGTCAGTTACGTCATTGGGTCAATATGGGCGTGGCCCTCCTAGGTTTTCCCCACGGTAAAAAATGTCTCCAACCGAAAATCGTTTATTCGTACCTTAATTGAGTTTGGGAAGGACTGTGTAAAGTTTCGTGAGTATCTGAAAATTTGCAGGTTCATGTCCATAAATTTCCATAATATAAATGACTGGACTATATGACAATGTTTAATGCCTATTTTTTCGGCTTAGGATTAACCTGAGCGTGCTTATATTAATCACTCTACACTCGATCTTCGATATTTTTCTAAAAGGGCCCCCGGCAGTTGAAACAAACTTGAATCAATGTATTTTCGGACGCTGATTCCGAATCACCCCCAATTTAATTATCATCCGGATTAACCATTACTCATTACTGACAGTTTATTAACTTGGTTAAAAATAAACTAGCTATAAAATACTCACTTCGATTAGGAAATTATTGCAATAGAAAAATAGGGAAGAAATAAAGATGACACGATTCTTTTCGATTACTCTTCTTGCATTGATCCACGTACTCTGGGCCAGTGGTAAGTCAAACGCTTTTTTAAACAAGTCAATACTGCCTCTGTGTTAGTTCATTATTTCATTGGGGGGGGGGGGGGGGGGGGGGGGGGGGGGGGTGGGGGGTGTGGGGAATGGGGGTTGACTTTCTGGTACGACTTTCTATTATCACTCGATCGAGGAATATATCAAATCAAATAATAACGATGCGCATTTTATTCCATATTTGTATAATGTATAATTTTAGATTTGTTTGGAGAGGCGAATCATACACAGTTTAGGCTCTTGAAATCTTCGATATAAAAATCATCTTGAGAGAACCTCCTGAATAGAATTAAGTTAGGCTCATATTTAGGCGAAACAAAACAATCTTAAATCTTTAATGTATAATGTTCGGCTTATTTTTCAGACCCCAAATGTCCTGCTTCCCATCCCTACGCCTACAGTGACGGACGGTACTGTTGTAAATCGAACAAGGAGAAGTACTACGGTCCACATGGTAGCAAGTGTGATGGCAGTGTGATTCAGAGAGACAGTACATGCTGCGAGGGAGACCAGCACACGCCGTGTCCCAGTGGAAACTGTGAGAATTACCAAGGTACGGGTGACCTTAGAAGTGTTAAATCAATTTAAAGAATCGTATATATATACATATTTGTAGCTGTACTTCTACAAATTAAAAGCCTGTGTCGATATATAATAGATATGTATACTATAGATAATATATTCCTCAATATTATTCCTTATTACTTTTCTTATCAATCTCACAAAATGAGTATTCTAGCAATTTGTGAGATTTAGCTTCACTGTAAATAAAATAAGTTAATTCTATTAAAACACATTAATATATTTAAAAAACTCTTTTTAAAGAGGTTTGTGGCTGTGACAACATCAATGGCGATGACTACGAAGTTACTGACATCGAATACGACATGGATAATAAAACTGTTTCTGCAGTTCGGCCTGATCTCGTTGAGTGAGTTTCGCAGTATACGAAATAGCGAAATCGAATTAATTTTTGTTAGACTTTATATAATTGTTTAATCACTTATTACATAATTATGTAATAAGGTTTCAATCGTTTAATCCGTTTAATTCGTTTATGAAAATTACAAATCGATTTAAATTTCAGTGAAAAGGAATTGTGCACCGACGGACCGCCTTGGATGAGGGGGGTATGCCTTGCTTTGATGCACAGGAAGAAGGTTTACATTCCTTACGTGAAGACATGGACTCACAAAAGATTGAACGGTACGTTAGATTAAATACTATAAAAATCCATAGTAAGGTCAAGCTGTGTTTTAAAAATTCAAGACGCACGACGGGGAAGTCTTAAGTTAATTTTATTAACAATCCTACGCAATCTAAGCTTAATTTCAAAATGCATGAACAGGAACGTTTTTTTTCAACTACTTAGAATTTAAATATTGTTAGTTTGATATTTTCAGGTTGTTCTTGCAAAGAAGAGGGAGTGCTGGAAGAGGGAGTGTCGAACAAAGTTCTGTAGAATGTATGTAGTTGTACGACCGCCCACGTGCAAATTAGATAATAAATAGGAAGTTGCATAGTAACCATGGTAACGGTGTTCAAAAGCGCACGTGCACATGCAATTACATGCAGTCTGTATTACCAAGACGAGTTCGTTAGTGTTCTCCTTGATCATTTCATGTTTAATTCCTGTTTAATTCCTGTTTAATTCCTGTTTAATTTATACAAAGATTTGCGAGCGCCATTTCGATCGGTTTTTAGTTTTTACGTTGTGTTCAGTGCGATCAGCTACATTTTAATCGGCTGTATCTTCGATTGTGACGGATATTTGTTGATGCTATAAAAACTGACTACCAAAGAATACTATTAGCTTCCTCCCTGTGACCACGGGCTTTCTAGCATTATTTTAAAATTGATAACATGGCTACAACTACAAGCATCATTAAAATTGTGTGCAATTATTTTAGTCACTGAAGAAGCAGTATAGTACTCAAGCTTCATATTTTTAGTGACAAATTATCGAATTCGTTGCACATAGAAAAATCAATTAATCAAAATATCATTCTGTTTATCAATCATGAAAATAACCCAGGTGAGTAGAAGTAGAGACAGTGAGGATGTCTGGAGCGTTTGAGGACAAGAACATATTTAGATTAGATGATTAAAAGATTAGAAGATAAGAAGAATAGAAGATTAAAAGATTAGAAGATCAGAAGATTTCATTTGATCAATTTTTCCTACCTTTCGCTTAAGACTTGTTTTTTCATTCGATAAACTTATACTGTGATCAGTGGCTCTTACTTAACGGGTGATACTCGTAAAATATTTGTTCCATATATTAGGACCGTCGACGAGTCCAACTCGGTGCGCGTCCTGGTAGGTTGTAAACCTACAAGCTCTTACTAATTCGCTCGCCCAAAAATTTCACGTGACTTTGGTTTTTATGGTTTTGCAGCCGTACAAAATGGTTTTACATAAACCCTAATCCCAACCCTAACCCTAACCATAATCCCGAAGCTATCCATAACCCTTACCACAACCGTAACCCTAGTTGTAACAAAGCCAGGTTGTGAGAAAAATAAAACATATTTTGCTATGAGTATAACTATGAGCACCCAAAACATATAAAAATGTCGATACAATCGACCACCATGATATTAAACGTCTTGTACTGATTTTTTAAGACCTAAAACTAACATTACAGGACGTGAAGAATAAAGATCTTATCGTTATCATTACATGCATAGAATAATCTAACTCTACATAATATAACCCTTATAATTCGTAACGATATACGCTATAATTATTTATGTCACATAAATCGTCCCTTTATTTTGTCTAAGTCTTGTTAAGCTTAAAATAGAGTGACTGCAAGGCAAGAGACGAGCTGGATGAGAAGGAAAGAGAATGTTATTTTACTTTCCGAGGATACATAGTTCTCCCTTTCTCCGTCGTCCTGGGATATCATGTTGCAGTTATCAGTGCTGCAGACTTCCAATTTGCAGGAAATAACATTGTTATCTCCTACATCGTCTTCTAAACCTTCACACATGGCATCCTCCGTGTTTTCCGCAGTGGAGCCGTCCGGCAGACACACTCTTCCGACCATGTCAACTGTCATTGATTCACCTTCTACAATTAAGCTTACAGTTGCACAGACCATTTCGATTTGACTTTCATCACAAGGCATCATGCTGGATGAGTCACAGCCTGAAGGTAATTCTCCGGTCTTGAACAATCCACCATTCGATTCCATAATTTCCTTCGTGGCATCGGAGTCGTACTTGAAGGCTGCCTCGCTACACTGATAACAACTGATAGCCTTGGTACAAATCGCAATACAACTTGCAGCTATTATAGCTAATATTATCTTCATCTTCTTAACTTCTGCTACTGAGACATGTTAATCAAAGCACGGTACACTTCAGAGTTCAGATGTATATAATAATAGTAACAATCAATCAAAGATATCAATAAAAAATATTTCATTAAAGGATACTAATAAAAGACAGACATATTAAATATAATATATTTTAAACTAATTACAACACTACAAATCTATTACATTTATTGAGGATGATACAGAAGAAATGTATTTAATGTAGTTATTGAGGAGTCCTAACTCTCCTCACATCCTCAAATGGAGTTTTCTTTCTACCATATATATATAATTATATATAACTGATAATCGTCTAGGGAAAAATATGAAATAACTCATCATGGATCACGTTATTTAATTTTACGGAACATGTGGGATTGCTCAATGCAACCTGATATAGTGTGTATATATAATGTGAAAGAAATTGTATTCAAAATTATGGAAAGATCAAGGATCGAATGAGTAAAAACTAAAAACCGTATTTACTTTTAGCGCTCGCTCTCATATCTAAATATCTTGCTATCACTTAACGACACGTCACCAATGATAATAACAATTAGGATAAACAATACCCAACGAAGAGCTAGCAACTATATCAGACAGCTGTGGAGACTGATAACGGAAGCCAAATATTAGACTTTATAATTGGTTTGGGGGAGCTGTAAACCAATTATCTAATCACCTCGAAATGAGGAATGTGTCTAGCTGTTAACTGGGACTTGAAATGATATATGATGTAGTTAAAATATGTCAAGAGGAAATCGGATGATCTAATGAATCACTTTACACTCGACTATTAGGTTTTTTGTTTGGGACTGGCCCAAAGAACCAGCCATTACCTGGCTGGGGACCCCAGGCTATATAATGTTCATGAACAACCACCGCGAATAGAGATTCGACGGAATGATCATAGGCTGAGCTCCACCCAGTAAACCAGCCAAGGTTTACTCAAAAATATATAAAATATAATAATTATTATCTATTAAAAGTCAAAAACTCACACATGCACAAGATTAGATATTATGACTCATGACTTACTTAAAGTTAAACACGTTTAACTTAGAAATAAATGGCCCTGAGGGATTATTCAGATCCAAACCCTTTACTCTGACCCAATCATATTCCTAACTATATTCTTATCTGGAGTACAATTGGATGTACCGAAAGCACATCCAATTTGATACGTATGAACTATGAAATAGTTCGATAACTTGCTTTATTCTGCACGTTGACGTCATGTTTATACCAAAATCAAAATTGAACAGAGAATAGTTATGAAGATCAAAAATCGAATGAGTAAAAACCGTATTTCATATTTACTTTTAGCGCTCGCTCTCATATCTAAATAATGTCTTGTTGTCACTAAAGACACGTCACCAATTACAATAACAAGGATATACAATACCCAACGAAGAGCTACTGCTAGCAACTATATCAGACATTCATGTATCACGTCGTGACCCCCAATGTCGTTTCACTGTAAAGTTCACTGTAGAGTTCACTGTAGAGTTCACTGTAGAGTTCACTGTAGAGTTCACTGTAGAGTTCACTGTAGAGTTCACTGTAGAGTTCACTGTAGAGTTCACTGTAGAGTTCACTGTAGAGTTCACTGTAGAGTTCACTGTAGAGTTCACTGTAGAGTTCACTGTAGAGTTCACTGTAGAGTTCACTGTAGAGTTCACTGTAGAGTTCACTGTAGAGTTCACTGTAGAGTTCACTGTATAGTTCACTGTAGAGTTCACTGTAGAGTTCACTGTAGAGTTCACTGTAGAGTTCACTGTAGAGTTCACTGTAGAGTTCACTGTAGAGTTTTTACGATACAGGGGGAGCCGCGCACTCGTACGCGGCGGTCGTACAACGTATAACAAATCAGACAGCTGTGGAGACTGGGTAACGGAAGCCAAATATTAGACTTTATAATTGGTTTGGGGGAGCTGTAAACCAATTATCTAAGCACCTCGAAATGAGGAATGCGTCTTATAGCGGTTAACTGGGACTTGAAATGATATATGATGTAGTTAAAATATGTCAAGAGGTAATCGGATGATCTGATGAATCACTTTACACTCGACTATTAGGTTTTTGTTAGGGACTGCCCCAAAGAATCAGCCATTACCTGGCTGGGGACCCCAGGCTATAATGTTCATGTCTCATGAACAACCACCGCGAATAGAGATTCGACGGAATGATCATAGGCTGAGTGTCGCCCAGTAAACCAGCCAAGGTTTACTCAAAAATATATAAAATATAATAATTATTGTCTATTGAAAGTCAAAAACTCACACATGCACAAGATTAGATATTATGACTCATGACTTACTTATAGTTTTTATAAAGTTAAACACGTTTAACTTATAGAAGTAAATGGCCCTGAGGGATTATTCAGATCCAAAACCTTTACTCTGACCCCAATCATATTCCTAACTATATTCTTATCTGGAGTATATACTTATACTTATAGTTATATGTTAAAACCCTAACTATAACTAAACGACCTGCGTTATATCTCCACCGAAACACGAAAGCACATCCATGAATTTGATACGTATGAAATAGTTCGATAACTTGCTTTATTCTGCACGTTGACGTCATGTTTATAAACATGATATATGATTTTAGTTTATATGATTTATTTAGTTAACACACGTCAAGAGGTAATACTAATGGGATGATCTGTTGAATAACTCTACACTCGACTATCATGTATTTGTTAGGGACCGGCCCAAAGTACTATAGCCGATGTTTATACTCAAAAAGTCAAAAACTCACACAAGATTAGAAATAAATAATGTTATTGTGACTTACTTAAAGTTAAACACGTTTTTTAGAAATAAATGGCCCTGAGGGATTATTCAGATCCAAACCCTTTACTCTGACCCCCAGGCCCAATGGCCAATCATATTCCTAACTATATTCTTATCTGGAGTATATACGTATTATACTTATAGTTATATGCTAAAACCCTTGCTCTATCCAGAGCCCTTGCGCTTGCAGTAGCGCGCGCCCGCCTCACGGCAGTAAAAAGGGCCGCTCTAGCCATCAACCCACCCAACAATTTTGGCACCACTCATTTTGTCCTCATATGCGACGTGTGTAGCCTTTCAGACATTGATTGCGTAAACGAGGTGTCGTACGTCACCTCAAGTGTCAAGATCGGGTGACAGGGGGCTGACCATGCCTGAACCTAATTGATCATTGATTGGGTCTGAGGTCACGTGACTATGACGTCACCAGACCTTGTCCTCCGTTTCCCGCTCATTGGACCAGGTGAGCTTGCATGCTTGTGAGTGTAAGTGTAAGTACAGCTTTTCTTAACGGGTGATACTCGTAAAATATCTGTTCCATATATTGGACCGTCGACGAGTCCAACTCGGCGCGCGTCCTGGTAGGTTGTAAACCTACAAAGCTTTTCTTGACATGTGAAACAAGCGCGCCCGAAGTGGCGCGAAAGCACATGGTTAGGTGAACTAAAACCCTAACCATAACTTTTTAGGTTTATAACCTACCAGGATGCGCGCCGAGTTGGACTCGTCGACGGTCCTGGAATAATATTTGGAAATATTTTAAGAGTATCACCCGTTAACTATTACCTGGGGACCTCAGGCTATTATGTTCATAAAAGATTTTATTATGTTCATAGAGATTCGGCGGAATGACAGGCTGAGCGCAGCCCAGTAACACGACATTGATTGTTTAGTTGATCTAACCAGAGCCCTTTCGCTTGCAGTAGCGCGCGCTACTGCAAGCGAAAGGGCGTTGGTTAGAGCAACTTATATACTTGTGAAACAAGCGCGTCACGTAGTACTTGACCATTGTTAATGATTTGGTCCGGCGCGCGCTACATTTCGAGAACAGAGAAGAAAGCGGCGCGCGCTACTTCGAAGAAATTTAGACGAGTAACATCCGTCAACGCAGTACGCGTATACACATGGCCATGTGAAATTGTTTAGGGCTCGGGTTAGGGTTTATGTAAAACCGTTTTGTTCGGCTGCAAAACCATAAAAACTAAAGTCACGTGATAATTTTTGGGCGAGCGAATTAGTAAAAGCCTTATAATACACACAATCAATTGTAGCGCGATGTGTTACTGTGCCGCGCCGCGCACTTAATAAGGCTTCTCACAGCGATCGGCTAGATCGGCGAAATGCGCTACTGTGCCGCGCCGAGCTGCCATGAATTGACATCGTCAATTAAACAATCAATTTTAGCTGCAGTGGTATAACAGACTGAGCACTATCCAGTAAGCTAATTTATTGTTAGTGGACTATCCCTCTGTGCGTTCCTTTTATTTACAGTACTTTACTTTGAAAAAGACGCGCGCTATTTTGGAAAAGTTGGACGGTTATCATCCGAACATTTTGGCTATGGAATTGAGGAGCAATATGCTTTATATAATGCTTAGCAAAATGCTTTATATATTATTAGTAATTGTTATGTCATATAATCGTATAGTTACGTTTTTCAAATGCGAGTTTAAATTATCTGTATTACGGCAGATGGCTGATATTTGTTAAAAAAGGTCCGTTTCTATGTATCAGTAGTAAAGTTTCTACTTCAAGTAGGCAAGGCTTAATGGCTAGAGTAAGGTATAGTAGTACGATGATTTCGCTCGTAAGATACCATTGTCAAGCTTGCATTGGGGCAATTTCACTGGTCCATTTATAAACCAGTTCATGCAAATCTATATCAATGATATCACTAAAACTAAATCAATATTTTAGCTTAGCTGGGGACCCCAGGCTATATTGTTCATAAACATAGAATAGAGATTCGGCGGAATGACAGTTAGGCGGAGGCTGACCGCCGCCCAGTAATATTTTAGCATATCGGTATCCTAGCTATCCAAAATCTCTATGTATATCATTGTAACGTCGAGAGTTACAAGAGAATGATATTTCATGTTCCAATACACAATATATCCTTGCACGTGGTATTCTTACAATAATATCCTTACAAAGTACTAAAGTACCCTATTCAAAGTACTAAAGGATCCCCATGGCCTACATGGAATTCTCTAGACTTTACAAATCTCCATTTTCCTACTCTCCCTCCTTCCCTCCGTTCATCAGTTCCTGATCTTCAATCCTTCATCAACCACCGTCTTCTTCCTGAGAACGAGCACCTCCTTCCTCGCGGTGACTACAAGGAGTTCCTGGAACTGACGAAGCTTTACCTTGGTGGGACAGTTGAGCAA